TCAGTATTCAGCTAATTTTTACCTTTGCTCTTGGAAGGACTCTGTGCTGAATGCCCTGGCTGTCGACAGGAAAGAAAGTCGTGCACAGGTTTCTGTGGAGTCTCAAATGCCATTTCTGGCTGGGTTGGTATAAAATCATGTAAAAATTGCAGCTTTTTCTTTTTCTGGCAAAGTAGCCATTGGTGGGTTATGGTGCATTATCTTTGACTAGCAGTGGTTCTGCTAATGGGCTTAAAAACCCGGAGGCGCTGGTGAAAGCACAGCTCAGCCAGGCCGAGTCCAGGAGGAGCTGGGCCACGAGTACCAGGCCCGAGTCTTAGGGGAGGTAGTTCCGGGGAATCCTCACATTCAGGAAAATTGAGGTGGGGTTTGATTTCCATTGTGTTTAACCGATAAGGAAGTCTAAAGCGCTCACCTCCTCAGACTTCACATGACTATGACCAGCTGAGTGGATTGGCTAGAAGTGGCACGTGCCCCTTGTTCAGAACGCAGCTTTTGAGCTTGAGTTATTCCTGTTAAGGGCTGATTGCTCTTTGTTGGTTCCTGGCATGGTTTGTGATTGACTCACCATGTTCTGTGGAGGCCAGAGGAGCTGCTGCTCAGTACGAGGGGGCAACCTGCACTTGGGGCATGAGTTTAGACCGGTGGTCCAGGGCCAGTGCCGTGTTGCCGGGCGGTGCCTGCTGGTGCTGGGCACCGGGGGCAGCACGGCGGCTTCAGGCCGAGCTTCAGCGTCCTCTTGGTCCGGAGGCAGCCCTTCCGTTATTTGGAGTGTGTGGCCGTTACTTGGTCCGGAGGCAGCCCTTCCAGCTATGCTGGGGTCGGCTGGCTGCCCTTCTCCTGCAGTCTAGGCCAGTGGCCTCCAAAGTTCAGCTAATCCAGGCTGTGCTCAGAGCCCGGCTCCTGGAACGGCTTGGTGGTGTGCAAGGCCCTTCTCCTGGAGCAGCGAGGGGCCTGAGCTCTCTGGAGACCTGCTCGTCCTCCCACGTGGCGGAAATCCTCGTGCCCCTGCGCCCCCGGTCACCTTCATTGCCCTACCCCTGACCTGCCCTGCGCACCCGGATGTGTCTCCCCAGCCTTTCCTCAGAGTAAGGGTGAGAGCTGGGTGTGTGCTGAGTAGGAAAGAGGTCCTTTTGAAGCTGCAGGAACACCCAGCCGCCCCGTTCACCGTTTTTCCTGTCTCCTCCAGCTGGGCCCCTCAGAACAGCCCAGGGAGACTGGTGGACTCAGGTTACTATTAGTTCATTGATGAGAAAATTGAGGCCTGGGAAGAGGAGTGGACATCGGACATTCACCCTTCTCCTGGTCGGCTGTGTGCCGGTCTCATTTCTGCAGCGATGCCGGGCTGTGTGCTTGAGCGGGGCCGGCATGGACACAGCCCTCCTGGAGGCTGTCCCTTTTCCCGGCCACTCGGCACAGGTACACCCTGGCCTGGTGCCCACGCGAGCTCTAGGCACCTGCTTGGGCCTGAGTCCGAGGACAAGTGACAGGGAGCCCGGGCGGCAGGGAATTGACGGTGGCTGCAACATCCTGTTTCCCGGGGCGCCGGTGGTTCCGGCGCCTGCTGCGTGCCTGCAGTCCCTCGTTGTTCCCGCAGGTGTATCCTGAGACTTGGTGTGGGCTGTGGTTGGACTGTGGCCAGTCTTGGTTCCTACTGTTTTCTGAGCCTGCTTCTCCAGCCTTCCCAGAAGTTCTGTGAGTTACGGAACGTCTTTCAGTAAATTGCTTTTGTGCTTAAATTAGCATCAGTCTCGGAGGCTCGCCAGCACGAGTCCTGCCTGCCATGGGCTCGTGACTTGTCAGGCTCCGGATCTGAGGCCTGAGCCAGGGCCCTGAGCCTGGATCTGCTGAGAAGCAGCCTTCCACTTGACGGAGGCATGCTCGTTCAGCTTCTGAAAAGGGACTCAGGTAGGAGGCACAGGTCGGTGAACACGTTTGCTAGTGCTCGGTAAAGAAACGAAGCTGACTTCTATTGCAAGACTGCTCGGAGCTCTTAACCCGCTAAGGTGCAGGGTATCACCCAGAAGGGGAGAGCGCGTCCAGGCTTCTCATCGTGCCAGCAGAACCCTTTCTCCGAACACACTTTGTGCTCAGAGAAATGCTCTGCTGGCGCCTTGACCCGGATGGTGGACATGCTGATGATCTGGCTCAACACACGTATGATAAACCCCTTACACGTATAATGCATTTGCCGTCCGTGGGGCCCTGACTCGTGGTAGCATGGTCACCTGCCAGCAGCTCAGGGTGATGGAAAATGTCCACAGATGTGAGCGGGTGCGGGTCAGGAGTTGATTCTGGCTTCAGGAGACAGGGGGACGCACCCAGGGGGTTGGGAGAAGGGGTGGCAGTTGGCTTTTGAAGAATGTTTAGGATTTTGAAGTTGTTGGATAAGAATTTAGGGAGGAGAGCAGTGCACTCTGGGTGACAAGGTCAAAGGCCAAGGATATTGGGTTAGAATGTCAGTTGCGGCAGGGATAATGGTAATCCTAAATCCTTCGGGGATGTCAGGTCTTTACACACATTCCCGCTAACCCTTGTGCCAGCCCTATGATTTAGGTATCGTTTGTCCTATAGATAAAAGCACTTGTGTCTCAGAGAGTTTAGGTGACTTTCTCAAGGTGATGGGTCGTGGGTAGGAGGCCATGATCTCCCTCTGCCTGGTCTGATCCCTGTTTCCGCATGACAGAGTGGAGGGGGTGGGAAGACTCTTTTGGTTTTTATCCCTCAGGCAGTGGGGAGCCATGGTAGGAATATGAGGTGTCAGAGAGCATCTCCGATGCCGGGCAAACATTTGAGAAGGTTTCCCAGCAAAATCCTGTGTCCACTCACTGGAAACTGGAGAGCTATTCGATTCAGACCCCTGTCACTGTGCACAGAAAGGGGGATGTTGAACAGGGCAGCTCTGGAGCCCAGGGGTTTAGGATGGAATCTTGGGAGTGATGCTTGCACACCATGGGGTTTGGGGAATGGTGCTTGACCTCTTCAAGGCATAGACCTGTGTGTGCCTCTGTCCTGGGGCTGTTGGGAGGTAGAGCAGGGAGTCAGCGTGTGCTGTTAGGAGCAGGTGGAAGGCACACAGAAGGGAGGAGAACCTGCGGGGTCAGGGCGATGGGGGCGTGTTGAGGTTTCACTGTAAAGCAGTCACCAGGCCAAGTGGGGCAGACGGGACAGTCAGGGAGAGGCCAGTCCCCGGCGTCCAGGCCTGGATACTGGAACCCTCGCTGCACGTGAGGGGCGCCCACGGACTTAGGGCCGCTGGAGCGTGAAGGCAGCCACCAGCCTGCAAACAATGAGCACGGCTGCATCCCAGGAATACTTCCCTTGCAAAAGCAGGCGCTGGGCCAGGTTTGGCCGGCGGGCTGTGGTTCGCTGAGCTGCTGTAGCGCTGTCGTGTCGTCAGTAGTGATGTGGTGTTCGAGGTGAGGGTGGCTGGAGCGGGAAGACCCCGGGTGTAAAGAGGGGGCCCGAGGGCGCCCTTCCTCGGGGAGGTGGGGGTTGGTGAGCGAGTCCGGGAGGACGGGCGCAAATGAATGAGAAGAGCTGAAAATGGTAGAGCCGGCGTGTAGTGCGGTGCGGGCATGTGCGGGGTCCCAGGAGCAACGTCCGGTGGGGCTCGGGGCGGGGCTGGGTGGTAGCCCGCTCACCGACGCGCTGCACAGAGGCAGAGCCCACGCGCGGTTACGGTTTTGGACAAGTTCAAGTGAAGCGTTTCCAGGACGCAGAGGTCAGGAGAGCCAGGCGGCAGCCCGACTTCCAGTCTGGAGCTCGCAGGGAGGCCTTGCGGGGCTCCGGTTCCGAGGCAGCTGTGGCTGAGCGCGGAACCCTGGGAAGCGCTGGCCCGTGAGGTGGCCCGAGGGAGGTGTGCGGGAAGCAGGGCAGGCAGGAGTCGCCGGGGAGACGAGGCGGCCCGGGTGGGCTTCCCCACGGCCCTTTCTTCCGGCCTCCCCTCGAGGCCGAGGGATTTTTACAAGATGCCAGCCTGCCTAAACCTTGGTACAGGCTCTTCGCTGCTCTTAGTACATCTGTTCTTTCTTTTAAACTTCCACTGGGTTGACCAAAATTAGCATCTCTCAGAATTGTTCGCGTGGAGGGTACCTGATAGGATAGCTTTTGTACTCTGGCTTGAACGCAAGCAAAGTCCGTGCGCTTCTGTAAGGGCGGGATTCCGACGCGCGGGCCCTCCGCGGCCGCTGCCGAGTCGGATCTCGCTCCGTTTCTGTAATTCATTTAATAATGCTTTAGTTTTAAACGTACTTTATTCAAAATATCCCATGCTTTGTCTTCAGTTTTTACTGAAAGTGTTGTTGGTAATTGTTTTATTTTAAATAGCTTTAGGTACTTTTTAAAAGACACTCTTATTTCATCTTTGACTCTGCGTTGGTTAAAGATAAATAAGAATAGGGAGATGGTAATTAAAAAAAATTTTTTTTTATTTATCTTTGACTGCATTGGGCCTTCGTTGCTGCGTGCGGGCTTTCTCTAGCTGCGGCGAGCGGGGGCTACTCTAAGTTGCGGTGCGTGGGCTTCTCGTTGCGGTGGCTTCTCGTTGCAGAGCACGGGCTCTAGGCGCACAGGGCTTCAGTAGTTGCAGCACGCGGGCTCAGTAGTTGTGGCCCACGGGCTCTAGAGTGCAGGCTCAGTAGTTGTGGCGCACGAGCTTAGTTGCTTCGTGGGCATGTGGGATCTTCCTGGATCAGGGCTTGAACCTGTGTCCCCTGCAGTGGCAGGCAGATTCTCAACCACTGAGCCGCCAGGAGATCATAATTTAAGGAGATGAAAGGAGAGTGAACTGTTGGTTGGCTGCTCTGGGTAATTATGGTAATCTTCTGTCTTCAAAGTGACTATGTTATAAAAATGACACATTATATGGTTAAATTCCAAAAATGGGGAAAAAACTTTGGAAGATGTTTTATGTCTTAAATAACTGGGGCTTCTGTTGTGCTTTAGAAGTGACCAAACTCTTTCACGTATGCGTAACTTTAAAAATTGTTTCTCTTTAGGTACTTGCGAGAATGAACAAGACCTGTGAAATGAAATACAGAATGATGGACAGCCCTTTGGGGAAGATCGAGATCTCTGGCTGCGAGCAGGGTCTGCACGGGATAAAGCTGCACGGCCGGAAGATCCCAGACACTGAGTGAGTGAGAGTCCTGTGTGACACCCACTGCTTGGTTTGTTCAAAGCAACAGGGAGAATACGATCATTGCTTGTTCTCCATTGATCACAGGGTAACACGTAGCCACACGCTACCAATCACAAAAGTTAGCATGTCTCTAAAAATGGTAGGGCCATGATTGTTCATTTTCAGCATCTGTGCTTATTGCCCAGGAACCCTCCACCTCCGATTAACCACAGGGACATAAGCTGTAATTAGGAGCCCCAAGACGTGTTAATGTATACGTTTATAGAGGTGTTGATGGACTGTATTGAGCGCTTTGATTCTTAAGCAAGTGGGATGTGGGAATCTCTTTGGACGTTTGGTGACAGGGAGCTGCTGCTTCCTTAATCCGGATTTTTAAATCCAGGACCAACGTTGACTGTCCATCAGTCTGCCAGGTGATGAACTTTTATGGGACTTCTGTTAATGGAAGTTTTTATTAATGGACTTTTATTCCAAAGTCCTGGAATTGCTTAATCAGTAGCTCCACTGGGCCTCTTGGAGATGGTGTCCGGCTGTTGGTGTGTGTGTGCGCGTGCAGCGGAGGAGAAAGGGTATGAAATCCCCTTGTTAGCATGAAGTTAGGGTATTGCCATTTCTCACGGAACACGTTTCTCTGAACGATCTCCACTATTTATTTTCTCTAATTATAAAACCATTAAAAATTCAAAGCACTCCTTAATGTTTTGTTCTGAAACGTAACATTCAGTTTCCTCCATTCATTGATTGTGAGTAGCAGTTGTATTTTAAAATTGCAGTTCTTGTTATTTCTGACAGAAGAGGGGAAAAACCACCCACTCCTTTGCTCAGCGTTTGTCTTAACGGGCTAATAAACACAGCGCCAAGGATGTTAGAAAAAGAAAATACGTAAGAAACATAAAAATTGATTTTAATGGACCGCTGTCAGAGACGGCTATAATGAGCACAAGGGCGGTAATAAATACCAGTTTTCGCCTCCTCGGTCGAGATTTTTCCTGTAGAGCTGCACGTTACAATCAATAGTCTTTTTTAAGACCAAAAAATAAGCAAACCTTTGAATTATATGAACACAGTCTTCTTGATTTCTATGAGAACCATCTGGCTGTAGTGTTCAGAAAATCACAGGCACCAAATAATTTGTAGGGAAAATGTCATTTTGTCTTTTAGTGTGTTCAGTTGCACAGTAAATCACAGAAATTACGTGTTGAATTCTTTTTTTTTTTTTTTTTTTTTTTTAAAAAGAGCAAGTGAATTTGGAGAAGAAAAAGTAGGAGGAAAAACCCCTCTTGAAATGCTTTAAATGTCCATTAGGAATTGTGAGAACGGAGTGAAGAAGAGGCGTAGCTTTGCTTCTACTCCCTGTACTTTCTGAATCAAGTTAGGATTAGGTTCATCTGTGGAAAACAAGCTCCTCCAAGTAACAGCTTAATCAGATGCAGCCGGTTTCTCTGGAGGAGAAGCCCTGGCGGAGGAGCAGTGACGCTGGGTCTGCTGGCGGGATGGTCACTGGAGTCTGGCGCCCTCAGCTTTCCTCTCGGCATCTGCAGGCCAGACTCTGGGGTGCGAGCTGCCACACCCCTTCACAAGCAGCAGAGAGAGGAGAGAGAAAGGAGGGGATGCCCTCTGTTTCCAGAAGCAGCATCCGTGTCTTCTCTTACCTTGCTGGGCACGCCGCGCGGGAAGCACGGAGCTTGGCGTGTGCAAGCTGAAGTCGGCGGTTCTGTGCGGAGCGGATTTGGCGGGGGGCGGAGGGCAACCAGCAGTCTGTTGTGTATGGTTAATTTGGGGAGGGATATTTCAGAAGTAGAGAACGGCATAAAATTTATCTGTGTGAATACTCAAGAGTCAACAGTTTCTTTCATTTAAAAAAACTGAGGTGAAAATCGCATAATAAAATTCGTAGATTTTAACTGTAAAGTTCAGTGAGTTTTCACAGATGTGTACAACCACACGACCACCAGCCCAAACCAAGATATAAAGCACTGTAGAAAGTTCCCTCGTGCTCCCTTTCAGTCACCCCCTCCCCGTTGGCACCCACTGTTCTGATCTCTGTCATGTTGGGTTAGTTTTGCTTGTTCTTGAGCTTGTTCTAGGTGGAGCCATACAACACATACTTCTTTCTGTATTCAGTTCAACAGTGTTTTCAAGGTTCACCCGTGTTGCTCTGTGTGTCAGTAAGTAGTTCATTCTTTTTTATTGAGTAGTAGTTTGTTTTAGGAATATACCACAGTTTGTTTATTCATTCTCCTGTTGATGGACATTTGAGTTGTCCAAGTTTGCGGTACTATGAACAAAACTGCTGTGAATATTCTTGTTCAGGTCTCTTTATGGACGTACGTTTTCATTTCTCTTGAGTGAATTCCTAGGTGTGGAATTGCATGGCTGGATTGCATGTCAAATGGATGTTTAACCTCGTAAGAAATTGCCAACACGTTCCCCAAAGTTTACCATTTTACATTTCCATCAGGAACGTATGGGAGTTTCTGTTATTCTGCCTTCTCACCGCACTTGGTGGTGGTAGTTTTTAAAGTTACAGCCGCTCTGGTGGGTATGAAGTATTATCTCTCTCATTGTGGTGGTGACCTGCCCTTTCCTGATGACTTACCTTGAACACCGTTTTCAGTAAGCTTTCATTGTGAGGCAAGTCTCTTGCCCATTTTTAGTTGGTGTTTTCTTGGTTTTTGTTGTCAGTTGGTAGTTGGTGATCAGATATATGTGTTGATCGTTTTCTCACAGCTGGGGACTTGTGTTTTCATTTTTTTAATAATGTCTTTTAATGAATAGAAGTTTTTAATTTTGAGGAAGACCAACTTTCTTGTTTCCTTTCTGTTCAGCATATTTTGTGTGTTTAAGAAATATTTGCCTACTCTAATTTCACAAATAGATTCTCTTATAAATCCTTTGAAAAACATTATAATTTTAGCTTTTTATGTTTAGATCTGTGTTCCATCACCTTGAATTACCTTGTTGTGAGGTACTCAGTTTTCTCCGCAGACATTTAGTTGTTTCAGTATCATTTGTTGGGGGCGGGGGGCGGGAAACCATTCCTTTCTCCATGGCATCGCCTCAGTGTTCTTGTCAAAAAATCAGCCACATGGCCATACGTGTGTGGGTTATATATGTCTGGACACTGTTGCGTTCAGCCGATCTTTTCATCTGTTCTGGGCCAGTGCTACGCTGACTTGATGATGTAGCTTTGTGATAAGTCTTGAATTAATGTGAGTCTTCCAGCTCTCCACCCCCCACCACCCGTTATTTTTGTTGTTGTTTTTTTGGAAGATTGTCTTGGTTTCTAGGTCTCAGTTTTCCATATTACTTTTAGAATCAAGGTGTCAGTTTCTCCAAAAATGCCTATGGGGATTTTGATTGGAGTTCATTGAATCTGTGTGTCAATTTTGGGAGGGTTGACATCTTAAATTGAATTTTCCAGTTCATGACTGTGGTTTAGCTCAGCATTTGTTTAGCTTCTATTTAATTTTTCTCAGTGGTGTTTTGTAGTTTCCACTTTAAAGATCTTGGTGTGTCTTTTGTAAAGTTGATTTCTAAATACTTCGTTTTTGATGGTATTGTAAATCAGCTTAATTTTTTTTTTTTCTTTTTAACTTTTAAACTACTGCTGCTGGTACATAACACTTGATTTTTGTATGTTGATTTTATTCTGCCATCTTACTAAATTCACTTCTTAGTTCCAGGAATTCTTTTGCCGTTTCCTTAGGATTTTCTCTGTAGAAAATCATGATGTCTGTGAGTAAACACACTTTGTTTCTTTGTTTATGATCTTTTTGCCTTTTATTTTTTTTCTTTTGTTGCACTGGCTAGAACCTCTAATATGACGTTGAATAAAAGTCATGACAGTGGACCTCCTTCCCGTGTTCCAGTCGTAGGGGGAAGCTTCAAGTATATCAGGGTGACTGCTGGCCTTGTTGGCTTTAATAGGCGTCCTTTCTCACACTGAGAATGCTTCCTCAATCTGTTGAATTTTGTTAAATGGTTTTTCTGCATGTATCAACATGATCCTGTTTTTCTCTTTTATTCTTTAAATGTGAAGTAAGCTAATTTTTGGATTTTGAACCAGTCTTGAAATGCCGCTGTACTACATCATGTAATTCATGGTATAGCCTTCTTTTTCCCTTACATGTTACAAGTTGAAATTTGCTATTTCGTTTAGCATTTATGTGTTTAAGTTCATGAAGGGTGTTCGTCTATAATTCTTTCTTTGGTGATGTCTTTGTGAGGTTCGGGCATTTGGGTTTTTCTGACTACATGAAGTGAGTTTGGAAGTGTTTCCTCCTCTACGTTCTGAAAGAGTCACGTGGGGGAATCCTTTTCTTCCAGTTTGACGCCACCCGGATCTGGTAGGAAGGCTTCTGATTAGAACTCCCTTGTCTGATAGAAGTAGGCGCCGCCCTCACCCACCCTGAGGGGGCCCTCCCTTGCTTTGGCTTTTTGCAGGTGGAGCCATTTGCACCCTCCAGGGCTGTCCCCTCTAGCTCTGCTGCTGTGGTGGACGGTGGCCGTGAGGGGGTTTTGAGCAGAGCATCCTAAAGACTCTGGGCCCCTGTTCTCACCCTCCTTCTTGTGAGTCCTGGCACCTTCGTTTCCTCCGAAGCCGTGCTGGTTTCTTCAGTAGATAAATTAGAAGATGGCCACGGACGTCTGTCCTTAGTGAAATTCCTTTCACGCTTCTATACAAAGTAGGATTCCTGTGCGTATGGCTTTGTACAGTGATCCTTGATTTCTTTTTTGTGTAAGTTACATTGCTCACCTTTCCTAAAAATATGAGTGGAGAACATCAGTTTGGAAAGTGGTATAATAGTCTCAGTTTTATAACTTCCTGCCGATATCAAGCTTCCATTCACGACTGTCTTTTGCAAGAGCTTGACCAATCTCTCCCCACTCCATCTTCATGTGGCCGTGAAGCTTTGACCTCATCATCATGCCCCACAGTGTCTAAAATCTAAGGAGAAGGGCGGGAGAATATATTGGTTTTCCTCATGTTA